GCCGCGGGGCCCGTTTCAGCCGCAGGATGGAAAGTGACGGGGACCGTTGTTCTGGAGGAAGCTGCAATCCTGACGTTGTCCGCGAAAAACGCTTGTTTAAATCCAGACTGTCAGAGTCCCTTGTTCAGCTGGCGTGTAGTCACCATTACTGTGCTTTCCCTTTGAATCGAAATGAGTTATGCATCTGGAATACGGCGACTGCTCAGGTAAAAACAGAATATATCCCTTCATAGGCTGCTATTGCAGAAGAAGACTTAAAAGGAAGACATAAACAAAATATTTGAGGGTAGTGTAGGAGTGTCAGGTTTCACTTCAATGCTGGGAAGATTTAGCATTTAGTATGAGTTTTGTTATTGTGATGAGAATAATATAAACTGTTGTGGTGGCAGCTAAACCACCACCCAGTCTCCTGCTTGCTCCTTCCCAGCGGGATGGGGGAGAGAATAGGATGGGCAGAAGTCAGAAGTCAGGTTGAGGTAAAGATAGTTTCACGAGTGAAGAAAACAGGAAAAAAGAAGTGATACAAAGGCAATCACTCACCATCTCCTACAAGCAGACCGATCCCCATACAGGCTTTAAGCAACGACCACCTTAGAAGACAACCCCCCAGCCCCCCAACACCTTCTTCAGCCAATACCCTAGTTTTATTGCTGAGCACAACATCATATGGTAGGGAACATTCTTTTGGCAGTTTGGGTCAGCTGTTCCTGCTGTGTCCCTTCCCAGCCTCTTGTGCACCCCCAGTCTGTTTGCTGGGGTTGGGGCGGCCGGGACAGAGTGGGAAAAAGAGGAAGCCTTGGTTCTGTGCAAGCAGTGTTTGGCAACAGCCAAAACATTGGCATGTTATCAACAGTTTTCGTCAGGAAGTCCAAAGCGCTCCACCATGCAAGCTGCTATGAAGAAAGTTAACTCCATCCCAGCCAAACGCAGTACAGCTACACTGCAGCTGATTAAGTGATTTTTGAAACAATAAAGAAAAAATAGTTATTGTTTTGTTAATTATATGTACGTTACCCATTTGTAATTTTGTATTGTTCATAATCTTAGTTTGAAGTGACTCATTTAACTCTTCTTTATGTACATTTGTCAGCCATTACGTTTGTCAGGACATCATTACTCAATTTCCGCGCTGTCATTTGGAAGTAAAATCAATCCACTTCTAGTCTGCTCTGCTTCTCGTGAACGTGTGATAGTGTGGAATCTTGATGAATGCACACGGAAAGTGCAAGAAGGTAGAGTATTATTTATATAATATATACATATTTTATATATATATATAAAAGAAGTGATGCAAGGGCAGTCACTCATGACCTCCTACAAGCAGACCAATGCCCAGGCAGTCTCTGAGCAACGACCACCTTAGAAGACAACCGCCCAACACCTCCTTTTCTTCCACTACCACTTGCATAGAAAGATTGTTATTTCTGAGTAGCATGCATTAGCCACTCAGATTCCGCAGCCCTCACCGTGATAAATAGTGCTTTATTTCTCTACTGCTCTCCTTCGACAACGCCAAGCTGAACCAGGCCCGCAGTCCAGCCGGTCTGGCCATCGTACCTCCTCAGGAGACCCGCCCTTAACGACGGGCCCGCCCCCGCG